GGTCATCTTTGAGCACGCCATTTCACTTTTCTTTCACCAGTTCACCGTTCTTCCAGCAGTCCACACTTTCTCTGCTATCTTTTTCTCATCGTCTTCTCCTTCTTTCCCATCACCCGGCTTGCCACAGGTTTGCCTGCTGTGTCTAAAAGTAGCAGCAGCAGCAACCCAGACTGACAGCAGCTCATTGGCTAATTTGTATCACGTGTAGCCTGATTGCAGACACACCAAAGGGCTTTACCATATTAACAGGAGGAACGGCGCAAGTAAAATTAGACACTGTTGTCAGACAACATGCAGTAATTTATAAATGTTTTAAATCAGGCTGGGTCCGGATTAGCCAGCAGGTGGATCCGGACAGCGGTCTGCTAATCCGTTACCTCTGCTATAAAAGAATATCAATTATAGTATTGGTTGAAGTTCTTTCTCTTTTACTTAGGGAATAGGGAAATAAACAAGTGCTAATTCCCCAAATCAGTGCAAACGATTAGTTTGACATTCAGTACAAGGATTCAGTACAACTTAAAATTTTCACACTCACACTTTGGAAGAGCATTTGAATTCTAACACTTTTATTTTTCTCTCATCCTCAGCACACTGTGCTGTCAAGGAAGTTTGTGGAAGTCATGACCAAATACAACGAGACCCAAGTGACCTTTAGGGAACGAAGCAAAGGAAGAATCCAGAGACAGTTGGAGATCAGTGAGTGACCGATATTTGATGTACACTCCCTAAATGTGCATTTTGTCTTAACCTATGAGGTACAAAACAAGTGATGAGCTGCATTTCCTTTACCATCTTAACTGATGTCAAATAGTGTAAAACTGCCCGACTACTTTAGATATGTTCATGAAAACTACATAAACACAATTGGAGGGAAAACTCTAAATGTATGTAATGTAAGCTTAAGCTAAATATTTAAGAAGACTCATTTATAGACTTAGATTTTATTTGTCATTTTGTTTACACAAGTGTAAAAACAAAAAGAAATTTTGTTTGGAAACAGCTCTCTGGACAATTTCATCTTTTTTTAAAGTGCAGCCTTGAAAAATAGTAAAAATGACTGTAAATTTACAGTTCTAACATTTTTTTTAATATAATGATAAAATATAATAGAATACAATACAATAACCCTGTTTACAAAACATTAATTTATGCACCTGAAATACAAGATGGGAAACAAAGAAGCAGTTCTAATCTGACATTAGATTATTCCCATTAACAAGCTGAATGTTTGTTACTGTCAGATCCATAGTAAGACACATATCCATGGTTTTAACATAAGAGAATAACAGAAAGTCTATGGTAGGGCTGCCTTTCCCAGTCCCTGTGGCTTTAATGGTAGGCTCCATGACTCCACACTGCAGAAAGCAGATAGTGATACTGGAGACTCTCTTGTGTTTGCGTTGCCAGGGAAATGGGCAGAGGGCCTGGGTGACCCATGCAACTGAAGTCCACACGTCTTCAGCAAAACACACCAAATTTTTCAATCTCTAATGACATACTGTAGTTTGTTTATGTAAATCACTTGGAATGGAGAGACTTTATGCTAGATGTTAGGTTGTGCTCCTTACTCTGTGTGTTTTGCTCGGTTTGTGCCTCCGAGGAATAGGCGTTGCAAAAGGTGTGTGACACAATAAGCCCCTGCACAGTGATCTGCCTCTCCAGGGAGAGTGTTGCACAACAGGAGGCAATGCTTTCTCTTTATAGAGTTTCACATCGTGCTTCTTTGTGAGCAATGCAAAGGCCTTTGTACCCAAGATCTTTTCAAACTACTACCTTTGCAACCTCAGTTAGGAATTTAAGCACCACTAAAATCTAATGGGAAATTATAGCAACTAGAAACAAATATATATTCAAGTAAAATTGTGATTGTTGTCCAAACAATATCAGCAAAGTAACATCATCTCTTAGAATTTAGATGATCGACCAGCAGTTGGTAGAATAGGGCAGCGCCTGCTCCATGCAATCACACTCAATCAGCAGCAGTACTTACTTAACAGATCAGTGTAACTCCTCAATCAGCAGGGCCTTTCGACAGGCTTCTGTTCAGTTTGATTTGATAATAACCAATGCGCTGTCCCACATATGGGGATAGTATTTTTTTTTATACAGCTTCAGGTTTGAGCTCAAAGATGTACCAAAGTATCATGATGTAAGATGAGCCACTGTTTCATGATCTGGACAGAAGGATGTTAGCCGCCAGCAATGATAGTACATCCAGCTGGATTCAGAGATGTTGCTATGGAGCTGGGGCCTCATGTACACTCAGCTTTTATACTATGAGTTGGCTGTAGGGTGAAATTGTGAAACGTGTGCTGTAAAAACACCCAAAATAATATTTAAATGTATAAAACTATGCATACACAGGCACCGCACAACTTTCTCTCGTTCATTCGAATGCACAACTGCATGTGGCCTAAGGATCGCCCCACTCCTTTCCTGCAGATGTATATGCAAATTGGTATGAATACCCTGAAGGCACCCACCACGTATCCAAATAACCACGGCAATGGAGCTGTCAGGCCGTCACAGAGCGACTTTGTCTACACACCATGAAGGATATTTATTGTGAACTACCCAGCGCTTACTCATCTTGCTCTGCAATGTCTTTTTCACCACTGTGTAGCTGCTACATTGAGCTCAGTTATATCTAATCATTGTAATGATGTGAATGCTGCATGTGCCTACACATACACACATACGTAAATACTTAACTAAAACTTTAGGAACATTACTTAAGGAAAAAAAAAACAAGCCTAAAAGCCGCAAATAGAGTACACGTATATTAAATGAAAATTCTTTCCCTAAACAAAACCAGATTTGTTTACAGATTTTTGCAATATGGGTGCATTCATAGCTCTGATTACTGTCATAGTTTAGAGGAATCTGATGTATATAAGCAAAAATATAGATGAGGCCCTTCCATCTGACTGGCAGGGCACGGCTCAGACATGGCTGTGAAATACCCGGCCAGTCATCTCCCTCTGAAAAGCTCTGATTGCAAAGAATGCAGTGAAGTAAGAACTTAAACTGGCACAGTTGATGCAAGGTTTCTCCCCCTGTAATGCTGCTAATCAGTGATGCATCATCACATACCAGCAGCTCAGAAGGATAACTAAATGCACATCTTCTCTGAATTCTAATATAAGGAATGTTCTCCAGCAGTGCCAAAGCTACCGTCGCTACATACCTAAAGCACAAGTTTATGTAGTTTATTCATGGAAGTATGAATGTCTCCTCATTGTCCCATACTTGACAGTCTTAGGAATTAATCTGCTGATCCAAAACATTTCAATTTAACAAGAATGAATGTCCCCCTTGGATAATTTACATGCATCTCATGTGGTGTGGTACACAGATCAATGTGCATTTACATCTACACCTCACAAGAACATGGGAAAATGTACAGCTTACATCTAACTCAGGCATGTTGTATCATTTTTGGTACCTTACTTCACACGTTATGCTTAGATGTATGAAACATTTTACTGCAAGGTTTTTGTTTGTATGCAAGAGTTTTAATTGATAAGCCAGCATCCCACACATTATTATTACATCCTCAGATATTAGCCAGCAACCAGTGGGCCATAAAGTCCTTGTTCATTTTTTTCTATGAGGGCTAAGATTGCAAAATCCGTAGACAATTCCTCCATATCTGAAAAGATTTAAATTTGACTGTTTGCAGCTGGAAGAATGACCTCAAATGAGGAACTCGAGGACATGCTGGAGAGTGGAAACCCATCAATCTTCACATCTGATGTATGTTTCATTCATTTATTCATTAATGTGTGATTTAGTCTTGTTAAAGTCAATCTGTTGGGAGGAGCTCACTATCTGTTATATTTTGGTTCAAAGTTGGGAAATCTGTTTTTCTCCTACAGATAATTTCTGATTCCCAAATCACCCGTCAGGCCTTAAATGAGATTGAGTCACGCCACCAGGACATCATGCGTCTGGAGTCCAGCATCAGGGAGCTTCATGCAATGTTCATGGACATGGCAATGCTGGTAGAAACTCAGGTATTAGCTTTATATAAAAATAGTTTTTGTCATATCACATACTTTTTTTATATTGGTATTCTAGGACTAATGCTATATTTCACAGGGGGACATGGTGAACAATATTGAGAATAATGTCTCCAATGCAGCTGAGTACATCTACCGTGCAAAAGAAGAGACTAAAAAGGCAGTGAGATACCAGAAGAAATCACGTAGGGTATGTGTGACCCTAAATTACCTTTGAAATGAAAACATTCAAGATGTTGAAAAAGGTTGACATATTTTCAGAAGCTAAATATTTTAAGTTAATATAATGTAACTACTTTACTTGGCAGAAATACACCATCCTTGCCTTTGCTGTGTTGATCCTGCTTGCTGTCATTGCGTTAATTGTTGGCCTGTCTGTTGGACTAACCAAACGCCCTCAATGAGGCCTCTTGTCTGCGGGAGGTAACGGCCCCTACCACACACCACACACACACAACCCTAACTATTACCAAAATGTACCTAATCCTAACCTAAACTGAATTCACACCTTAGTCCTAAACCTAATCCCAACTCAAAGAACAGAACTTTACCATATAGGGACCAGTTGAATGTCCCCATATGTACCTGTAAGCCCTCGCATGTAGGATATTTTACAAAATACTTCCCTCACATTGTAGGTAAAACAACACACCACACACACACACACACACAAAAACTTCCACTCTTTGGGCAGAAAATTCAGTTGGTTGTCTTAATAAAACTGTATTATCATGTCAAAAGTAAGTAAAGAGGTAGAGATCAAAGATTTGCAATTAATTTCAGTCTTGGACCTTTGTTTTATCTAACAAATAAATGGAGTTTTACAGTTTTAACTGGATCAGAAATACATCTTTGGGCTGCACAAGGGTGCAGTTTGCGGCCCTGTTGCCTTGCAAAAAGGTCCTGTGTTTGATTACCAGCCTAGGGTCTTTCTGCATGGAGTTTGCATTTTCTCTTCAGATTTCAACTATCTCAGATTAGGGATTTGCAAAGCTAGCCTTCGTCTGCATTCAACAAGGATGCACATCCTCACCTTGACTCTAAAGGTTTTCAGTTTTTTAAAGATTTCCAAACCCAGGACTGTCAGGGGTTGAAAGCTCTAAAGAATAAAACTACAGGCTTGATCTTGGTATCTGTAAAAGCTGGCTCCTTGATCCTTTACTGTTTAGTACTCTGCCAGCTGGACAAAATGTCCAAGTTTGATGTCCTTTGGCACAAGGAACCTTTTGAACTTGATAAAATTAGAAATGAGATGAATAATCACGATTTATCTGAGTAATCATCAACTAATTTGATACTCAAAATGAATTGTTAATTAGAGTAAAGGCAGACAGAAATTAAAACATGCTATTATGTGAAAGAATCAGAACCCTTTATAGCAGTAATTGAGAAAAAAACCGACAAAAATATTTTTTATTTCAATTAAAGGAAGCATCCTAATATGTGTATATGCATGTATGCGTACTTTAAATTTACAGTTCATTTAAATGTGCAATTAAGTTATTTTTCTCTAAACTCTAAACATTTGTTTAAAAATGTTAATTTACTTATATTAGCATCTGTTTTGATTGATTGATTTAGCCAAAAAATAAAATGAGACAGCTGAAAAATTGAAAGACGTGTAGGAGTGAAATGAGCAGCAACAGCCAAAGTTTTTGTCTTTATATAGCGGGCAGATGAACAGGTGCTCTGTCTGGATAGACAGAGAACCTGTGAATAACTTAAAACTTTTTTTACTTCCTTTGGTTTCTTTTTTAACCCACCAAAATCACTACATTAGCTAAAGTCTAGTCTTCCTTTAGTTACCACTTCCAGCCGGAGAGTGTAGTTATTACTATGATTTGATGTGTTTATGAATCAGAAAAGATTGGACTTTGGAGTTCATGTTTTCTCCAAATGAGGGACAAAGTTGTCTAATTCGGGTCATTAGCCAAGGTCTCTACTAGTATAGTTTAAAATTCTTTCTATCGTTCTTAATGCTACGTTCAGACCGGACGCAGCAAAAGCAGCAAAATCGC